AATGAAAAATTAAAATAAAAATTACTTATCTATATTAAAAAGTAAAAAAAAAAATCACAATTATTTTCTACAGGTGATACAAGGTGATAATGGTTATAGCTACAATTTAATTTGTTAAAATTGCTAATAACTATCAATTTTTTATTTTAATTTGATTATTAAAAACAGTTAATAATTGATAAAATAATTAATTTTTAATTTGATTATTAAAAACAGTTAATAATTGATAAAATAATTAATATTTATTATTTTAAAAAATAAAATTAATTTATAGCTAAAATTTTTTTAAATATCATAATTAATTGTTTGAAAAAACCTAAAAACTAAAAAGCTTACAATTAAATAGGTAGTATTAACAATTTAGATGGTGACAACAACCTAACCCATAGGTTAGGAGTCATTTTGACAAAGTCATACTTTTTGAATTATCAAGGTGTTTTAAAATAATTTTTATATAATTTAAAATTAATTTATTTTCAAGTAATTTAAAATATATATCATATTAACGTTCTAAATAATTCAATACTAATCTTTTTTAATAAAAATAAAAAATTTTAAATTTGAATAACATGATATGCATATATGATAGATTAAGAAATGAGGTAATATTATTTCTTATTATACAACTTAAGATAAAAAATATATATACATATCCTCTACCTTGATCTAACACATCAAAAAAATTAATTTTCATGCCTTGTCCATCAAAAAATTTAGTTTTTAATGGTGCTAATTCTAATATTTAAATTTTAAATTTAACTCATAAAATATTAACATGTCCAACACTTATTTATCTATAAATTTCAAATCATATAATTTATATCTTATCATTTATTTTAAATTTTAAATTTTAATTTTATTTATTAGTATTAAAAAATAAAGTACACTGCTAAATTCGCAGCTTTTGTTGGGTAGAGCCGCAGATAATTTTTTATATGTTAATTTACAAAATTTTTAAATTTTAAGAGTAACGAAATAATTTTTTATATACTAATTTATAAGAGTTTTCAAATTTCAGGGGCCG